GGGATCAGGGTTTAGGGTTCAGCGTTTAGAAGGGTTTTTACCTTGAACCGAGAAGAGTGCGGTCTAAGCCCCAAAGATCCCGACACCCTAAACCATTAGAGGAGGCTGGCAGCAGCGCGGATCCGGCACAGGACCGAGTTCGGGGTTTCGGCTTACAACTACAACCCTACCTTCTCCTAAACCAAAGACAATGCAAGCCCAACACTGAGGGGATCGGAATCTCCCTTTTTTCCGGCTTAGGTTTCCTTAGAAGCCCCTCTCAACCAAACAGGGGTACTCTTGAGCCTAGGACTTCTGAGGGGTGCACAACTCTTACACCTCAAGACCCTAAGCTCTTCCGAGATCCCAGATCTCCTTCATTAGGAACATCAGCACACCAACGAACATGTCCAAAGAACTTGTTATGCTTCCAAAGGTGCTAAGCCCCCAACCCTACACCCTAAACCCTAAACCTTAAACCCTAAACTCTAAACCGTTAAGCCCCTGTAACTTGAAATTATTCAAATATCCCAAAAAAGAAACTCCTCGAAACTCATCGAAACTTTCCCCGGACCTGAACCCTGAACAACTCCATGAGTATTTTCCAGTGTTTACGGCTGGGAACTCCATCCCCCACCCCACCCCACCCCCCACCCCACCCTCCAACAAAAACACATGTCTGCATGAGTGCCCTACCGTGCAGCCCAAGCCCCCAAACACCCCTTATCCCTGCCCCCCGCCCTCCCACACAAAAACAAAAAAAGCAGCATACACACAACTGACCCGTATCCCTCAACCCTCAAGGTACCCTACGCCCTAAGCCCGAATCCCACTAAACCCTCAACCCTAACCCCTAAACCCTAAACGGGAAACCCTAAACACCTCGACCCCTCAACCCCGAATTCTCCAAAGAAACGCTTGCTGCCAGAGCGGCAACCAGCCCGCCGCCAGCATCAATGGCTCCCGTCCGACATCCTCCTCGCAGCACGACTGCTTAGTAGCCGGGTAATTAGGGTTTAGGGTTTAGGGTTTAGGGTTTAGGGTTTAGGGTTTAGGGGACGGGTATGTAACTTGTTTAACCTTCTTCGGGGGTGCCGGGTAGTAAAATCCCAGGGTCATTTCGAAGATTAACCCTAACCCTTACACCCTAAGCCTTAAACCCTAAACACAGCCCCAAGCTTTGAAAGTCCTCTTCCTAAAGCCCCAAACCCTGGGAACCCCTGAAAACCTCAGAGATCGGAGAACCTGCAACCCGAAACCCTAAACCCTAAACCCCCTAAGCCCTCAACCTTACACCTCACCAGCACGATTTGCTAGAGAACCACGCAAGTTAAGAATATTCTTTCTTTTCAGGCCAATGTAGGGATTCTTGCATTTATTGGGGGGGTTCTTAAGCAAATAGAATCAATAGAAGTTCAGGGTTTAGGAGGAAGGTCCTAACCTTATGGGTACATGGACCCCAACTGAGACACTAAACCCCAATACAGAGGTGCCTAATGCTTTCGCAACCCAGAAACCTCTCCCCGAGGTCGTCCTTCTACCCGGCCAGCGGCGCAGTCAACGCCAAAGCCAAGGCAGCTGTTGCTTGGAAGGAAAACCCTAAAACCCGAAAACCTAAACCCCACACCCTAAACCCTAAACCCAACCTGAAACCTACCTGGGACCCTCTTTACCTGCAGCTTTATGGGTTATACCTACTAATTAAGGGCAGTTGCTACAAAACTGTAGGTACTATAGAGTCCCAGGTAAACCCTGCATGCTATGGCCTGTGTTGTTGCGGGGTGAGGTTCCCTCACAAGTCACAGTAAGCAATCATGGGTAGGTTTGTTTGCTCGCTAACCCTAAGCCTCAACCCCAAACCCTAAACCCTTACCCGAAACCCCAAACCCTAAACCCTAAACGAGGCTTTCAGCGCACTGCATTTGTCGAGGCACGACCCCAACGCCAAAACTTCTAGGGGTTTAGGGTTCAGGGTTTCGGGTTTAGGTCTTAGGGTTCAGGGTTTTGGGTTTGGGGTTTACGGTTCAGGACTCAGGGTTTAGGGTTTAGGGCTAAAGTTTTCCCCTAAACCCTAAACCCTAAACCCTAAACCCTAAACCCCTAAACCCCTAAACCCCGAAACCCCTAAACCCTAAGGAGTTGTGGTTGCGACTGGGCAGCGAAGGTTGTGGATTCTCCGTGGACGCGACGACGAGAGGATTTCGACGGCCGCAGATCTGCAGAAGGGGTTTAGGGTTTAGGGTTTAGGGTTTGGGGTTTGGGGCTTAGGGGTTTAGGGCTTAGGGTTTGGGTTTAGGGTTTAGGGTTTAGGGCTTAGGGTTTAGGGTTTAGGGCTTAGGGTTTGGGTTTAGGGTTTAGGGTTTAGGGCTTAGGGTTTAGGGTTTAGGGTTAGGGTTTGGGGTTTGGGGCTTAGGGTTTGGGGTTTAGGGCTCACAAGTGAGAACAGCACCAGACCAGCTCAGGGGCACATACCCTGTTGGGGTATGCCTTGAAAGCCACGTAGGTTACTATCACAATTTCTCGGATCGGACTCATATTAGGTTAGCCCTGAAAATCCCCGACCCTAAGCCGTAGAAGACATAGGCTTACTGGCTCAAAACCCAACTTTTCAACTTTTGGGTTTCGTACAAGGTAGTTTACTCTGAAAGTTTCAACTTTTATTTCCTTGGGATTTGGGCCAGTAAGTAGGTTTGGGGATGAAGCCTGGGCTTGAAAACCCCAATAGGGTTAGGATACGTGTTCGTTGGGATTGTTCCGTCTTAAACTAAGAGTCCTTAATAGGGATTCTAGTACCCCCCCATTATAGTTCCCAATAAGGATTGCTAGTTAGTAGAAGGGTGATCATCCCAACATATTCAGCCAAGTATAGCAGAGAGGGCGGGGAAGTGGGGCTAGGGGAGACTGATGTGTAGGGCCCTAAGGCTAGCGGTCTGCGATCGTAACGCTGCAGTCTAACCCCCTGAAACCCTGAAGCCCCTACACCCTACAATGTAAGCCCTATTAACACTGCCGGAACATCTTGTTGATCCACGGCCCATCCTCAAAAAGTCAGTTATGGCTCCAAAGCTACAGGGGCTTGAATGAAAGCTCTCAGCCCTAAACTATAAACCCCAAACCCGAAACCCGAATGAACCCCCCCTATGAACCCCTAGAACCCTGAAAACCCCTATAACACCTCCATAAACCCCTTTTAACCCCTGTAAGGCCCTAAAAACCCCCTATAAAACCCTACAACACCCTGATGACCCTTACCAAAGCCCTTTAAGCCCCGATAAACCCCTCTAAACCCTAAACCCTTAAACCCTTAAACCCTCAACCCCGAGCCCTTCGAACACACCCGAGAGTCCCTTTGTAACCCTAAACCCTGAAACCTTGAAACCCTGAAACCCTGAAACCCTGAACCCCTAAACCCTGAAACCCTGAAACCCTGAACCCCTAAACCCTGAACCCCTAAACCCTAAACCCTAAACCCTAAACCCTAAACCCTAAACCCTAAACCCTTCTTCTTTGAGGCACAGATCGGCCCTCCAGCCGAGAGCGGCGGCATCGCTCGTCCTGGCACGCGGCTCTGAACAAACGATGCTCGGCCACCTCGGATGATTAGGGAATCAGGGTTTGTAGGGTTTAGAGGGTTTGTAGGGTTTGGAGGGTTTAGGGTTTAAGGTTTAGGGTTTTGGGTTTTGGGTTTAGGGTTCAGGGTTTAGGGTTTAGGGTTTAGGGTATCTGGGCCACGTCTTTGCCCGCTTACTGGCTCAGATAAGCAGGGTTATGGGGGTCAGGGTTTAGGGTTTAGGGTTTTAGGATTTTCGGGTTTTAGGGTGTAGGTTTTAAGGGCTTAGGGTTGAGGGTAATTTGGGAATTACAGGGTTCCTCCTTCCCTAGTTCCGTGCGAAGAACTACAGAAAGTGGTATGTTATCCTTGGCTTTTCCTTTGGGGTCAAGATGTTGGGTTGTGAGTTTTGTTCAGGTTTTGGGGTTTAGGGTTTGGGCTTAGGGTTCGGGATTTAGGTTTGGCGGCTAGCGTTAGCTTGACGCCCGACATATAAAACCTTAGAGGGTTTACGGGGCTTATTCAAGGGACTAAAGCAGGGATCCTCATAAGAGACCTTAGGGGCTCCTTAGGTATACAGGGCTTTTATAAGGTAGATAGATCGCAAAGCTACAGCCAGTACAGTCCTTCCTTGGGGAACCCCCTAACAACCCCAAACTCTACCCTAAGGGTCCATGTACCTAAATAGGGAATTCTCGGGCCTTAAAGTACTTGCTTTTTAGAGACTTTGGGGCCCAAGTATAAAAGTAATTAAACTGCATGGACCCTTTCGGGAGTGCACGGGAGACCCAAAACGACGGGCGCTGCCTATGTGCCCCTAAACAACAAGGAATGCATGGTATGGGAGACCTAAGCCATGGGACTTTCTGGGTATCCCAGGCTACGGTTTAGGGTTTAGGATTTAGAGCTTAGGGCTAAGCCCTCAACCCTAGACCCCAACCTCTAACACTAGCTTAGGCCCTATACATTAAATCCTAAGCTGTGCACCCTAAACCCCTAAATCCCTATTCCTGGATCCACCCGCCAGCTTACCCAGAGTCGCTCATCAGCCTGTAGAGCTACCCGGCAAAACCCCTAAACCCTGTAAACCCTATAAGCCCTGTTTCCCTTTAAACCCCGCAAGCCCTATACACCCATAAACCCTACAAACCCCATGAACCCTACAGACCTTACAAACCCTGTAAACCCTATAATCCCTATAAACCCTTCACCCTACAAGGCCCCTAAACCCCAACTGCTACACGCCCTAAAACCTAAAACCCCTAAACCCTATAAACCCTGCAGACCCTGAACCGCAGCGTGCAGAACTTACCTGGGGCTCCATTTACCTACAGTTTCGAGTAGTTACCCCTGAATCCGCAGCTATAACCCATAAAACTGTACGTAAAGAGAGTCCAAACCCTAAATCCTAAACCCGAAACCCTACCCTGAACCGCAGGGTTTAGAACTACGAGTCCTAGGACTGGTGGCGATGGAGGATGTCGAGGATGCGCCCTCACCTTACAAGCTTTCTTTACGGGTTTAGGGTTTAGGGTTTAGGGTTTAAGGTTAGGGTTTAGGGTTTAGGGTTTAGGGTTTAGGGTTTAGGGTTTAGGGTTTAGGGGTTAGGGTTTAGGGTTTAGGGTTTAGGGGCCATGGCCTTCCCCTTTCTTTGCAAGTTTTACACGGTTTCAGCCTCCGTTTATGCTGCGGATCTACTCTACAACCCATCAGCCCTAAGGGTGCAGGGTTTAGGGTTTAGGGTTTAGGGCTACACCACTAATATCTCGGAGGGGGCTTATCCTTCTTGGGGGTGGGCCCTCGTACGTCCCAACACAGTGCGCTCTACACTGGGCATTACATCAATACAGACTAAGTTCCCTCGCAGTGTGGATGACTGTAATGTACGGACCTGGAGAGTTTCCACCCTGAACCCTGAACCCTAAACCCTAAAACCCCTCCCTGGCTTGGACTTCCTGGTTCTGTATAGGAAGCTTGGGAATTGGTTGAGGGTTTAGGGTGAAGACAGGTGAAAGTCCTTCATGTGTCCCCCCCTTACTCAACCCTAAACCCTCAACCCTAAACCCTAAACCCTAAAGGAGCTGCTGCACACCGCGGACGAGATGCTCACTGGCTTTGACATGCTGATGCTTGCCGATGACAGAGGGCACCTTGTGTAGGGTTTAGGGTTTAGGGTTAGGGGTTAGGGTTTGGGTTTGGGTTTTGGGTTTGGGGTTTGGGGTTTTGGGTTTGGGGTTTGGGGTTTGGGGAATTCGCATATGGCCAGACACAGCACCGCAGACAGATCTAAAAGACCATAAACCTTGCAGAGGAGGACCTGCAACTTGAAAGTCCACATGAAAGTCTGCCGCATACAGCCTCCTCAAGTCAACAGAGGTATCCTATTCTTTCCTTTCTAGGTTCATATGGGACCCCAATTGAGGAACACCATCACCGTCTTGAACCGCCTCTCACGGCTCCGCGGCGCGAACAAGCTGCATCACGACCCGCGGGTGCTTGAGGTCCTCTACCGCCCCCTGGTGGAAGGGTTTAGGGTTTAGGGTTTAGGGTTTAGGGTTTAGGGTTTAGGGTTTAGGGTTTAGGGTTTAGGGTTTAGGGTTTAGGGTTTAGGGTGTCTGGGGCTTTAGAGTGTGGACGAGTTGCGTCCTAGACCGCTCAAAACCTCTAAACCCCGGAAACCCTAAACCCTAGCCCTAAACCCTAGCCCTAAACCCTAAACCCAGAAGGTCATTTTTACTTACCACGCTGCAATAGGCATCCGAGGGCCGGAAGCCTGCAACGAAGCTGAAGACCCTTAAACTCCTCTAGGCTTCAGGGTTTAGGGTTTGGGGTTTAGGGTTTAGGGTTTAGGGTTTAGAGGTTTAAGGTTTTGGGTTTTGGGTTTACCTGAAATCCTAAACCCCAACCCTGAGACCCCTACCCTGGAACGCCCCTGACCCCTAAAACCCTTCGACGCTGGGCCTTAACGAGGGTCTAGAGTATTCGGGTTTCGAGTATCGGGTTGAGGGTGCAGCCCTAAACCCTTCAACCCTTGAAGCTCCCCCTAGGCCCTAGGACTCTCACCCTAAACCCCAAACCCCAAACCCTAAACCCTAAACCCTAAACCCGAAACCCTACCCCAAAGGCATAGAAGCCTGGCTCTCCCATGCCGGTGTTCCCGGCGCTGCCGAGATGGCGCCTCGGACGTGGATACATGGTTGGGGGAGAAGGGGCGTGGGTTTAGGGTTTAGGGTTTAGGGTTTAGGGTTTAGGGTTTAGGGTTTAGGGTTTAGGGTTTAGGGGGCCGCGTCTGGGAGTCCCGCTTTAGTATGCCTAAACCCTAATCCTCGAACTGATTCTGACAAACCCCAAGCCCTACACCTGACAAACGCTAAACCCTAGGCCCTAAATTTCAACCTAAATCCTAAACTTAAAACCCTAAACCCTGATAAAGCCCTCAACCCTAAGCCCTGAACCACCTTTAAGGTTGGCCCTGAGATGGCTAAAGCCCTAGGCCTAGGCCTTCCTAAAACCCTAGATCCTAACCCTGACAAAAACCCTCAACCCTGAACTGCCTTTTAAGGTTGGTCCTGAGATGGTGCATGCCCGCCACCTGGCGAGCATCACCACGGCCCTTGCCCGGCTGCAGTGGAAGGCCCTGGGTATGCCTCAGGCTTCTAGGGGTTTGGGGTTTAAGGGGTTTTGAGGTTTTAGGTTTTTAGTGTTTTGTTTTTTTAAGGTTATGGGGTTCTAGGGTTTTAATTCGGGGTTTATGGTTCTAGGGTTTTAGGGTTGAGGGTTGAGGGCTCAGGGTTTTAGGTTTTCGGGTTTGTGTCCAACATGTCGAAATTGGGATGTTGAGCCGGGTGTACAGGTCGCGTTGTCATTTGAGTTGACCTTCTCCGCCCTTGCGGCGTCGGCGTCTCCCCCGAACCCTAAAGGGTTTCGGGTTTTGGGTGTAGGGTCCAGGGTTTAGGGCTTAAGCCCTGAAACCCTGAACCCTAAACTAGGCTTTCGGTGTCTACCTTGCGACCAAACCGATTCTTCTTGGTAGGAGATGCTCCTAAATCCCTGCACCGCCTAAACCCTAAACCTCAAGCCGATAAACCCTTCGTACACCCCCACAAGCCAAAACCCGACCTAGAAACCAAAATAAACCCGAATAAACCCCAATAATAATGATAATAATCCCGATAAACCCTCTAAACCCTACAAACCCCGAATGCCCTGCACCCCAAATCCGCGTTTTTCCTGATAGGATTCCTAGGTGACCCCGGGTTGCGGGGCCTCTTATATTGCGTGCACCCTCGCAGATCCGACTCGCGAGTGCTAACTTACTGGCTCAAAACCCAACTTTTCAAGTTTTGGGTTTCTTATAAGGTAGTTTTTTTCTGAAAGTTTCAACTTTTATTTCCTTGGGATTTGGGCCAGTAAGCTAAGGCGCGAAGCCCGAAACTCCATGCCTTTCGATCCTCAACGCCCTACAAAAACTTAGGATCTACGGTTTAGGATTTAGGGTTTAGGGTTTAGTTTTTAGGGTTTAGGGTACTCTACAAACCCTACAAACCCTATGCACCCTAGACACTTTAAACACGCTTAAGCTTAAAGCTTAACCTCAACTAGGTTGGCTTTTGGGGGTATTTTAGTATAGATGTTCCTTATTTCAGTTTGTAAGGGATCCCTATCCCTAAATCCTAAACCCTATGTATAATTCTGTCAATGGGTTTCAAGGCCAACCCAGTCAACTAAAGTACTCCACGGCGGGAACCGTAAACTCTAACTAAGCCCTAAACACTAAAACCTAAACACTAAACCCTAAATCCTAAACCCTCAACTGAAGGACTCCACGGCGGGTCGTCTGCTCCGCATCATTGCCTCCATTGCTCCGCCGCTGCTCGCCACGTCGCGCGCGAGGGCCTCCCGCAAGCGTTCTTCATGGGGTTTAGGGTTAGGGTTTAGGGGTTTAGGGGTTTAGGGGTATAAGGGTTTAGGGGTTTAGGTGTTTAAGGGTTTAGGGTTCTGAGGGTTTCGGCTTTGATTTGTGTCAAACGGTACGTTTAGCTTTTAGGGTTTAGGGTTTGGGGCTTAGGGCTTAGGGCTTGGGGCTTAGGGTTCTGAGGGGTTCGGCTTTGGTGTGCATCCCACAGTACCCTGGGAATGTGTGGGTTTAGGGTTTATAGGGTTTAGGGTTTAGTGTTCAGGGTTGAGGGTGTACGTAGGGTTTTGGTTTGGGGCGCAGGAGATCCTAAACCCTAGACCCTCTAATGGGGCGAAACTCTAAGCCCTTTACCCGCAACCTTCCCCACCTGCAACCTCGACGTAAACCCCTACGCGCCCTAAATTACCACATCGGCGTTTCCCATCATTTCCTATGCCAAATCGCATGCGAAGGGCATGTGGATAAGTTGGGTTTTTTCGGCCGGGTGACATTCAAACCCTGAACCCTAAACCCTGAGCCCTAAACCCTGAACAATCCTCACCCCCAAACCCCTAAACCCGAAACCCTAAACCCTAAACCCTAAACCCTAAACCCTGACATCAACAAAAACGTGGAGTTCTGGGCTCTGGCAGATCCGTCTACTCTCAGGACCTCTCCAACCTGGCCTGGGGCTTTGCCACCCTCGATCTGCGAAAGTCCCTCGGTTTTGTTTTTGTTTGCCAGGGTTTAGGGTTTTTGGGGCTTGGGGGGTTTAGGGGTTTAGGGGTTTCGGGGTTTCGGTTTTTTTGGGGTTTCGGGGTTTTTAGGGTTTAGGGTTTAGGGTTCGGTTGTAGGGTTTGGTCGGACACCCTTGCTTTAGTGCGGTTTCTGGGTTTAGGGTTGCCCTAAACCCCCAACCCTAGACTCTAGACCCTAAGCAGTAAACCCTAAACCCTCAACCCTAAACCCTAAACCCTAAAACCTTAACCCTAAACCCTAAACCCTCAAAGCTTAACCCTAAAACCTAAACCCTAAACCTTCAACCCTACACCCTAAAACCTTAACCCTAAACCCTAAGAGTTTAAGGATTTCGGACCTGGAGCCAGAACAGCTCTAAGGTTCGACTCGGTGATGATGGCCATCGCTCGCGAGGTGCAGTGTAGGGTTTAGGGTTTAGGGTGTAGGGTTTAGGGTGTAGGGTTTAGGGTTTAGGGTTTAGGGTTTGGGGTTTGGGGTTTTGGGTTTTGGGTTTCGGGTTCAGGGCTTTGGTTCAGGGTTTAGGGTTTTGGGTTAAGCCCAGCAACCACATTAAAACGAGGGTGCCCGTTTGGGGTCTAGGGTTTTGGGATTTACGTACTATATATATATTATATTATATTATATATATTATATATATATTATATATTATACCTTTTACGGGATTGTATAGGGTACCTCATTCCCCCATTCCCTGCTAACCGACAAGGAATTTGCATGGAAAGATGCTTCGACGCACTTCATTCGCCATTTCCCAGAATGAAGTGAATTCGTTTATGATTCATGATTGCAACGGTTCAGTGCACGAAATGCATGCCCAATGAACGACGTGACGGGCGCATACAACGTTTACAACATTAGTTCTTTGGCCCCCGACGTGTGTTTTGTTTTTGTTTACGCGCACGTAAAACGATTTTATTTGTGCGCGTACAAAGGTGCTTTAATTGTAAGGAACACGCACGAGTTCAACATATTTTCCTGCCCCGTTCAAAAGCCCTATGACATGAACTATTTAATTATATCTGTGGGGGTTCTGCGAATAAGAGCGCCAATTAGAAACTTCTTTGGGCGCTCATAATGCTCTTGGTTCACGCTTCACTCCTTCTAACTCAATACCGTAAACCCTAAACCCTATATCCTAAATCCTTTTCAAGCCTGGATCTAGGAAATTCATTAGGGAGCTCGCTTACTGGCTCACGCTTTTACTAGTGGTATGTCGTCCGCGGGTAAGGGTTTCGGATTTAGGGCTTGGATGGGGTGTTCGGGTTCAGTTCGGGTTCAGGGCTGAGCCCCCTAAAACCCCTGGCCCTAAACCCCGAACCCTCACCCTAAACCCTAAACCCTAAACCCTAAACCTAAACCCTAAACCCTAAACCCTAAACCCTAAACCCTAAACCCTGCATTCTTCAGGCCGTGGTACAGATTTCCGACTTCACGGAACAGACGCTGGGAAAAAACAATCAATGCAATCTTGCGCTTTTGGCCTCCAGGGTTCCCTAAGCCAAAAACCCTAAAGGCCCCTAAAGACCCTAAAGGGCCCTAAAAAGGCCCTAAAAGGCCTTCTAAAGCCCTCCTTAAAAAGCCCTAGGAAGCCCTAGAAAGCCCTATAGAGTCCTATAGGGCCCTATAGAGCGCTATAAAGCCCTATAAAAAGCCCTAGAAAGCCCTATAGAGCCCTCTGAAGCCCCATAGAGCCCTCTGAAGCCCCATAGAGCCCTATTTTCTCTCCATGGTTCGAGGTTCTTCAAGCCTGAGCCCAGGAACCTCTCGAACACCTGCTGGGCCTTCGCCAAGATTGGCATCCGCCACGACCCGCTGATCAAGGAGAGTCGGGGCTTAAGGCGTTTAGGTTTGTTTTTCTTGCTTAGAAAAGGGTTAAGGTAGGGTGTAGGGTCTTACTTCCTCCCCAAACTGCAGCGACATTCCTTAAATGCTAAGACCTGACACATGCAGAAATTCCCTTGACACCAGCGGCTGAAGAACTGGCCAGATCGCCAACGTCATATGGAATGGTAAAGGTTACCTGTAGCTTCCCTAGCATGTCGGACAGCCATCATCATCCATCGCTCCCTCATCATGTATGGAGTGGTTTAATCAGTTTTAACAAGTTGAAGTTAAGGGGGCACAGAGGCACCTCATGCCCTTCTCAGCAGGATTTTTGTCGGACGCCAAGTAAGGGTCAAACACCCGCAGGCCATTGCTGACCTCCTGAACAGGGCCTGTGGGGCCCAAGAAAGTAGTAATGAGGTACATGGACCCTTAGGGTAAGTAAGGGCCAAACCCTAAACAATGAACCCTAAACCCTAAACCCTAAACCCGAAACCCTAAACCCTAAACCCGCAGGCCATTGCTGACGAGACCTTGCGGAAGCTTCCGCAGTTCTCCGCCCAGGGCCTTGTCAACACCCTTTGGGGCACCCTGGGCTGCACCAGCATCATGGTTTAGGGTTTAGGGTTTAGGGTTTAGGGTTTAGGGTTCAAAGGGTTCAAAGGGTTCAAAGGGTTCAAAGGGTTAAAGGGTTTAGGGGTTTAGGGTTTTGGACATCCCGCACTCCTAAATCCCAAGCCCATCAACCTTAGACCCCTGAACCTTTATCCCTAAACCCTAAACCCTAACCCCTAAACCCTAGACCCTAAACCCTATACCCTAAACCCTAAACCCTAAACCCTAAACCCTAAGCCCTAAACCGTGCCCCCCCCCCCCCCCCCTCCAAACTCTCATGCGCTACTCGAACGGGGGTTTAGGGTTTAGGGTTATTGAAGTTCTTCCATGCAGAGTTTCTAGTTGCCCTGTGGGCGCTTGCGCCGCTCAGGGCAGTAAGGGTTGGAAGAATTACGAATCCTATTCCCTTATGGTCCCTTTATAAATATACTACAATAACTCCCCAAAACCCTATTCTAATTGTTCAGGCCCCTGGACCCCTACGCACATCCTTGCACAGCCTCAGGCTTCGCCACGCTCGTCATCAAAGGCGAAGAGTGTGCCCCAGCTGCCCACAACCCGAAGGCTCTTACTACTTGGAGGTTCAGGGTACTTATTAACCCAATAAGAACTGTACTTTTCACCCAATTATAACTCTATTGGGGCACTTACAGGGGCTTATGAGTGGGTTGTAAGTGCAGCTACAGTTGGTTAATGAGTACCCTGAACCTCCAAGTGGAAAACTCCCCCCCCCCCCCCCCCGCCCCGCCTCCGCGCAAAAGAAAAGCCAAAGCACGCCGAATGTGGGTAATCCTAACTTGTACTGTACTAGGTTTTTGAGATCTTTCTTTTTCCTTCTTTGGGTTTATGAGAGACCCTATATGCAAATGTTTTTCAAATCGTTTGAAAGGCCAACCCTGTATAGCATTCCATCATCCCTGCACCTTAAACCCTAAACCCTAAACTCTCAACCCTAAACCCTAAACCCTTAACCCTAAACCCTTAACTCTACTTGTAATGTAGCCCCAGGCCTGGGTCAGTCTTCCTGGCAGCTCATCTGTGCCCTCCTCGAGGACGCCGACGCGAATCCCCCGACATACTCTTCTGAACCCGAAGCCCTAAACCCTATGCCCTAAACCCTAAACCCTAAAGCCTAAGCCCTGAGCCCTAAGCCCTAGGCCCTTGGAGTCCCTCAACTTGGTAGGGCTTGAAGACTTCGGGGGATTTGGGGCTGGATGCTTTAGGTTTTAGGGTTAGGGTTTAGGGTTTCGGGTTTAGGGTTTGAGGGTTTGCTGCCTAGGGCTTGTAGGGCTCAGAGCTCTGGGGATGTAAAAATTGCCTTTAAAGTGTAGCAGGGTAAGGGCTGGTGTCTCGGGTGATTTGGGGTTTTCGGCTGGTTTAAGTTTTTGGGTTAGGGTTTGGCCGAATGTAAAAACCTACAAGAAAGTAGGCTTTGATTTCGAAACCCTAAGCCCTAGACCCTAAACCCTAAACCCTAAACCCTAAAGTGAATCCTATGCGACCCAACGCCGGCTCCCTTGTGTATTGTTCCCGGGATAGGCGACCCTAAACCCCGAACCCTCAACTCTGAACCCCAAACCCCAAACCCCAAACCCCAAACCCCAAACCCCAAACCCCAAACCCCAAACCCCAAACCCCAAACCCCAAACCCCAAACCCCAAACCCCAAACCCCAAACCCCAAACCCCAAACCCCAAACCCCCAACCCCAAACCCCAAAACCCCAAACCCCAAACCCCCCAAACCCCAAACCCCAACCCCAAACCCCAAACCCCAAACCCCAAACCCCCAAACCCCAAACCCAACCCCAAACCCCAAACCCCAACCCCAACCCCCAAACCCCAACCCCAAACCCCAAACCCCAAACCCCAACCCCAACCCCCAAACCCCAAACCCCAAACCCCAAACCCCAAACCCCAAACCCCAAACCCCAAACCCCAAACCCCAAACCCCAAACCCCAAACCCCAAACCCCAAACCCCAAACCCTACCGAAATTTTAGGGAAGACGTGTCTCAACTCAGACGCTGCCAGGAGATCACACGGCGTCTACCGGACTGCACCACCCAGGCGCCCTGAAGACTAAGAAAGCGCAAGGCCTTGGTTTAGGGGTTTCGGGACCCTAAACGCTAAACCCAAAACCCTAAACCTCAGAGGAATGTTCGCGCACGGAAGTAATTACCCTAATGCCGCCACCAGCAGCCGAGGCGACTCTGCGTTTCAGGGACAGGTGCCTGCTAAATTTCAATATTCACCGAAATTAAGGAAATGAAGAGAAACTAGCTGAAATTAAGGATTCTGCTTTGGGAGACTATTCCAAAAACAATGAAACCAGCATCTGTCGAAATGCTTTGAAACAACAATGTAAACCCAACGCAACACGATAAACTTAGCATGTCGACATGTTCCTTGGGGCTTGGGGGAGGGGGGGAACCAAGAGCAAGGATGGCTGTTTCCCCTCATCGTCCATCTGTACGTCTAGCTGAAGCTAAGGACGGAGGGCAGGGAGGGAGGAAGAGATGGAAGGAGGGAGGGGAGGGAGGGAGGGGGGGATGGAAGGAGATAAATAGAAACAGAGAGAGTCAGACGTCAGAGAAAAAGGAGAGAGAGAGAGAGAAAGAAAGAAAGAAAGAAAGAACGAAAGAAAAATCAAAAGAAAGAAAAGAAAGAAATAAAGCAAGAAGGAAACAGACAGAGAGATAGAGAGAGAGCAGCCCAATATGTCCACACTTGTCAGTCAGCACTGATAGAGTCGGGTCGTCGCCAGAGTCGAAACACTGACTCTCTGAGTCACTGAGTAAACTGAGCAAGCCCAGCCCCTAACCCTGCTAAGCATGACTGCCCTACACCCCCACTCACTCCCGCACTCCACCCCAGCCAACGACCGCCCCCCTGCCACCCCCACCACCCCACCACCCCCGCACCCCGCGCAGCGGAGAAAAAAAGTTGTGGGTTCAAAGGGCAACCAGTGGGGGGGGTGGTGGGGGCGGAAGGGGGAGAGAGGGAATAACAGAGAGGCCAGCCCCGCGCAGCGGAGGAAAAAATTGTGGGTTCAAAGGGCAACCAGTGGGGGGGGGTCGGAAGGGGGAGAGAGGGAATAACAGAGGCCAGCCCCGCGCAGCGGAGAAAAAATGGCCGATTGGGGGCCGAGACCTGCCTGCATGATTCCTTAATTTCAGCTCCCGTTTTTTTTTCAATAAAAAAAAAAAACTGAAATTAAGAACTGGGTTACATGGCCACAATTCCTGACACCAGCTGCAAAATCCTTAATTTCAGCTCCGTTGTTTTATAAAAAAACGGAACTGAAATTAAGGAATTTTGTTTCCTGAGTTTCAGCGGTCCAAGTGGTGATTCCTTAATTTCAGCTCCGTTTTTTTTTTAATAAAAAATGAAACTGAAATTAAGAACTGGGTTACATGGCCACAATTCCTGATCCAAGCTGCAAAATCCTTAATTTCAGCTCCATTTTTTTATAAGAAAATGGAACTGAAATTAAGGATTTTTTTCCTGAAAATTCCTGGCATCAACTGCAAAATCCTTAATTTCAGCTCCGTTTTTTTATAACAAAATGGAACTGAAATTAAGCTCCGTTTGTTTATAAAAAAAATGGAACTGAAATTAAGGAGTTTTTTCTCCTGAAAACTCCTGGCACCAGCTGCCAAATCCTTAATTTCAGCTCCGTTTTTTTATGAAAAAATGGAACTGAAATTAAGGAGTTTTTTCTCCTGAAAATTCCTGGCATCAACTGCAAAATCCTTAATTTCAGCTCCGTTTTTTTATAAAAAAATGGAACTGAAATTAAGGAGTTTTTTCTCCTGAAAACTCCTGGCACCAGCTGCCAAATCCTTAATTTCAGCTCCATTTTTTTACAAAAAAACGGAGCTGGGATTAAGGTTTTTGGCATGCCGTTTTTCGTCTGATTTGCAGTAAAAACCTAGGTTTTTTACTCAAAATGCGGCATGCCGATTTTGCGCGGCATGCCGAATTTCGACCAAAACATCATGGAATTCATGGGTTTTTGAGATTATTTGCGACTGCCAAAATCCTTAATTTCAGCTCCGTTTTTTTATAACAAATGGAGCTGAAATTAAGGATTTGGCAGCTGGTGCCAGGAATTTTCAGGAGAAAAAGTTCCTTAATTTCAGTTCCATTTTTTATAAAAAAAGCGGAGCTGAAATTAAGGATTTTGCGGCTTGGATCAGGATTTGTGGCCATGTAACCCAGTTCTTAATTTCAGTTCCGTTTTTTAAAAAAACGGAGCTGAAATTAAGGATTTGGCAGCTGGCGCCAGGAATTCTCAGGAAACAAAATTCCTTAATTTCAGCTCCGTTTTTTTATAAAAAAAACGGAGCTGAAATTAAGGGCACCCCCCCCCCCCGCGGACCCCCCACCCCCCGCGGACCCCCCACCCCCTACTGCGCCCAGCCCCCGTCCTCCCCCCTCCTCCCCCGCCCCCCACCCCCTCCCCCCCCCACCCCGCACCCCGTGGCAGCAACTCCGAATTTCCACGGCCATGCGGTGATTCCTTAATTTCAGCTCCGTTCTTTTATTACAAAAAAATGAAACTGAAATTAAGAACTGGGTTACATGGCCACAATTCCTGGTCCAAGCTGCAAAATCCTTAATTTCAGCTCCATTTTTTTATAAAAAAAAATGGAGCTGAAATTAAGGACTTTGCAGCTGGTGCCAGGAATTGTGGCCATGTATCCCAGTTCTTAATTTCAGTTTCTTTTTTTATAAAAAACGGAGCTGAAATTAAGGATTTTGCAGCTGGTGTCAGGAATTGTGGCCATGTAACCCAGTTCTTAATTTCAGTTTCTTTTTTTATGAAAAAAAACCGGAGCTGAAATTAAGGAATCAAGCAGGTCTCGGCCCCCAATCGGCCATTTTTTCTCCGCTGCGCGGGGCTGGCCTCTGGTATTCCCTCTCTCCCCCTTCCGACCTCCCCCCACTGGTTGCCCTTTGAACCCACAATTTTTTCCTCCGCTGCGCGGGGCTGGCCTCTCTGTTATTCCCTCTCTCCCCCTTCCGCCCCCACCACCCCCCCCACTGGTTGCCCTTTGAACCCACAACTTTTTTTTCTCCGCTGCGCGGGGTGCGGGGGTGGGGTGGTGGGGGTGGCAGGGGGGCGGTCGTTGGCTGGGGTGGAGTGCGGGAGGGTGAGTAGGGGTGTAGGGCAGTCATGTTTAGGAGGGTTAGGGGCTGGGCTTGCTCAGTTTACTCAGTGACTCAAAAATTAGTGTTTCGACTCTGGCGACGACCCGACTCTATCAGTGCTGACTGACAAGAGAAAATGTGACGTATTGGGCTGCTCTCTCTCCATCTCTCTATCTGTTTCCTTATTGCCTTCTTTCTTTCTTTTCTTTATTTATCTTTTTCTTTCGTTCGTTCCTTCTTTTGTTCGTTCTTTCGTTTTTAGGTATGGTACCGATGCCGAAGACTCCTTGAAACAGCGCTGCTTAATGGTAGGCTCAGGCACTCGAGCCAGCTTTTCACAGCTGCAATCATTGACATCAATCTAAAATCTGATCTCTCTCTGCAACGACGAACTGAAATCAGCCCACCTGAAAAAACCTTAATTTCAGCCCGTTTTTTTCTTGCAGTGAATTTAGAAATTTAGCACAGGTGCCTCCTCCCCTTCATTTGGTTATTTTCCAAGATAGGGGTACCGCTTTTACAATGCCACGCCAAATAGGATAGAACCCCCTTAAAGGGACCACTAAGAAGGGTACCCCTTTTTCGGAACCCCCTTTTAGTCTTCCACTCGAAGAAAGGGGCTGGGCCCGGCGTAGCGGAGGAAACCCTCTGTATTTTGCCCTGGGCTAGAAGGAGCAAAGGGTCAGCCGCTGAACACTATGTTTTTTTCTAATCGTTTTCTTTTAGTTGCTTGGGAACCTGGCTGAGAGGGCACAGACACCTTTATGCACTACAAGTCTTCAGGTTTAGGGCGTTCAGGGGTTTATATAGTAATGAGGCAACGACTATCTGGGGCTTATTCCGAACTAGTCTTAAGTATCTCCGAGCCCTACAGCAAACCACATACAAAAACCCTAAACCCTCAACCTTAAAAACCTAAAGCCCTAAATCTACAACCCGTATAACAAGGAGTACAATTTGCGTAAGGGGCCCGACTGCAAACCTTAAGAAGCCGGTGCCAGCCTTAAAACGGAAGAGGCTTGGAAGAGACGGAATCAGAGACCCTAAGCCTTAAACTCTAAAGCCCTGAACCCTAAAGCCCTCAACCCTAAACCCTAAAACCTTAAACTCTAAAGCCCTAAGCCCTAAAGCCCTAAACCCGAAGCCCTGCAAAGCCAATCGCACAGCACACCGCCTTCGTATGCTCGAGGCCCTGAGACCAACAAGCCCCCCAACCCAACCCGAGCATGGCCCTAAACCCCGAAAACACCAAACCTCTAAACCCCTAAATCCTAAAACCCGAAACCCCGAAATCCTAAACCCTAAAGCCCTAAACCCTGAAGTGGCCCTAAGGCCCCCCAAACCCGAAGTTCCCAAGCCCCACCGGGAACCAGGAGCTGAGCAACAGCTCCTGGGCTTGTTGTCGGTTGGGCGTGCGCCACGCCCCTTTGCCTGGGTTTACAAGCTGGGGGTTTGGGGTTTAGGGCTAGGGTTTAGGGTTTAGGGTTTAGGGTTTAGGGTTTGGGGTTTAGGGCTTAGGGTAGAAGGGGCTGCTTCGGGCTTAGGGGTTTAGGGCCTTCAGTATAAGGGGTTTGGGCCTAGGGCTTAAGCACGGGACATAGGGTTTTTGAGGGACCCGAATGGTAACCCTAGAGAAGTAGGATTTCGCAAACCGTTGGCGAGCGTATAAAAGGCTCCTTACAAGCGGGTAGTTTCCTTCTTTAGGGTCCTTTCTGGCGACCTATTAAAGGCGCACCCTTAAAAAGAGATCCCAACAAGCGACCCCAACCCAAGTATTGTTGTGTATACATGGGGGTGTCCTTTTTGGGGAGCACAAAGCCTAATACCCCACGGCTGTTGAAGGGACACACCACTGCCTCGTCATAGTATCCGACCCAAAGAGGACCCTAAACCCTAAGCCCTAAACCCTAAACCCTAAACCCTAAACCCTAAACCCTAAACCCTAAACCCTAAACCCTAAACCCTAAACCCTAAACCCTAAACCCTAAACCCTAAACCCTAAACCCTAAACCCTAAACCCTAAACCCATACCTCCCGAAGCCTTCAACCCTGCAAAGCCCCCCGAGGATGGCTTCATGGCAGCTGTCGCCGACCAGGGCCTCAAGATCGTCGGGGACTATACCTGCCAGGAGAGTCCAGGGTGTGTGGTTTAGGGTGAGCCCTAAACCCTAAACCCTAAACCCTAAACCCTAAACCCTAAAGCCTAAACCCTAAACCCTAAACCCTAAACCCCAGTGATGGGCCTGTGGTTTGGGGTTAACGCTAAACACTACAGCCGGCAACGAAACCCTGTTTTAGGGGTCTCTAGAGTTCCGGGTTTAGTGTTTAGGGTTTATAGGGTTTAGGGTTTAGGGAGTTTTTTGGGTTCCTGCACTATGAGGGTGTGGGAGTCAGAAGGCATCAGGTTCAGGCTTCGGAGGGTCCCATAAGCCCCGCTACGCAGGACCTGGCGAACTCCGCCATGGCCTTCGCAAAGCCCAACATCTACCACCGGCAGTTTCTGGAGGCACCATAGGGCGGTTTAGGGTTTAGGGTTTAGGGTTTAGGGTTTTGGGTTTTGGGTTTAGGGTTTCAGAACTGCTAAGCCTTCGGTTCTCTGTTCTAGGGTTGAGGGTTTAGGGAGGTTATAAGGCGTTTTACCTCGTAACGTCGTGCCCTCTCTAGTGTGCTGCGCACCCCGCCCCCCTGAACAGTCGACACTGGTTCCTGCTCTCTTCAAACGGTCCACGGGCTTTATATGATTTTCGTAGGGAGGAGTTGTACAGTGCTTGCACATAAATGACTTATAGCACGAAAAATGCCGTTTCATTCTCGAGATCTCTCGCTTGTGAAGAGTAGATGGATCCTGCCCATGGACTGATAGGTCTCAGTGGGCTGGCAATTGGTTGGATTTTCTCTAGGCCGATTGAATCGAAAGAGCCAACTGTTTGCCAGTGCCACTGCGCAGTCCCGCCGGAGAGAGGGCAGGAGAACAACAACAACGCAGTCCTGTGGGTCTTCATTGTGATCTTCACTGCATTACTCGGCGCAAATCTTTTCTTGGTGTTGAAGATCAGTTTCCGCAATACAGAAGGTGGGGGCCAAGAACTCACTTTGTCGTTGAAAGGGCGTCCTGGCAAGGGCGTCTTTGGAGCGAGCAAGGGTTTGCAGATTCTGGACAATTAGCTGAGGGAGCATGAATGCTGGGGATGTGGTATATGTCTTGTATCATGGGGATCCCGGAGTTTACCACACACGCATCCTGGCCGCCGAGTTGGAACCGCAGGAGTGGATGATCATCACGCCGGATAGGGACATTTATCCCGAAGTCTATGCTGGAGTGAATCCGGATATCCAAAGGTTCTGGCATGCAGCAGACGGCCGAGTTCCTAGAGGAGTGCCAGCAGGCCAAGTGTATGGCTTCGCACCAATGGACGCGAGGCAGTTTGGGGATCTCTTGAGGTCCGGGCGGCGGGAGGCTGACAATGAGCTCCAGAGGAGAAGGGCTGCGCCACAGGCCCCGCCGGCGCCCTTGCCGGTGGTGGGAGCTCCAGCTGTCCACGGCGCAGCCCCCACCTGCCCTTGCCCAAGGGCCAGTCGCTGCCGCGGGGGTGGTGACAACTTGGGTGGCGATGGAGACAGGCGGTGCCTGCCAGCAAGGGGACGTGATTGCAACTGATCCCGCTCCGCTACCGCTTGGTCACATCATCTCTGGAGACCGTGCTTTGGTCCCATCACAGGGCAAGGTCATCGCTGCATGCAAGGTTGCTGCTGACAAAGTTGCCGAGATGAAGTTTGATGATGTGAGGGTGCTCCCTGTCTCTTTTGATGCCCAGGGCATTCGGAGGAGAGAGTTCAACTCTTGTGTCGCGCTGCTGCGTGAAGTTTCTCCCCAAGGAGGAGGACTTCAGCTTCAGGGTCCTGCATCTCTGTTGAATGTCATCAAGATGATCCGGGATCAGGGGCTCACGCCAACTACTTTTCATGAGTTTTGGCTGCGTCAGGCTGAAATATCTAAAGGCGATAGATCCGTCTACGAGCACGAGTGTCTGTCACGCATCCTTGAAAGCATGTTGGTGGTGGATCAACTACATGTCCCAGCCCTTCAGTCTGCAGAGCTAGTGGTCAGACGAATGCAAGTCATACGAGAAGCTCACAGGATCTCTCCATCGGCTCCGGACTATTCGGCGGCCGACTTGTACATGGGATGGAAGTACCGCAAGGCCACTCAAGGGGTCGACCCAGGTCTGGCGGCACACGTCGCCTCGGAGCTCAAGAACGAGGCAGCAGTGGCCAAGGAGGCCAGGAAGGCGAGAGAGGAAGCCGAAAACCGTCGCCGAAATCCGCGGGGTCCAAAGAAGGATCCTTCGGGTGGAGGCGGCAATCAGTAATGAGCATGCCATTGGCGTCCTGGAGGGCTGGGGACGCCAAGGTGAGTCAAGCAGCCCGAGCCGGCGGCCGCCCATGTGCGCAGGCTAATGTTGGACCTGCTTTAATAAGTTACCCCCCCCCCCCTCAACAGTCGCGACCCTGAATAAAAAAAGACCCCAAACAGTCGGGGGGGGTGGGGGGGGGGCAGAGAAATGAGCTCTCTTCTTAGTTTGGGATCTGGGAACTTGACTCAAAAACCATTTAAAAAAGCAGGCCCGGCCCGAAATCTTTTCATTATTGCGGACCCCCAAAACAGAGGGTCCAGATCCTGAATTGCCGGAAAACTTTTCATAATAGCGTCCCCCTAGAATATTGCGGGTGCAACATTACTGGCGCTAATTTGGATCCTTCGCAAACTTCGTCGTTTTTTGCTTTTGAGGGTACTGACAGGCATAGAGACCTTTTTCCTGTGCCCAATATCCCCCTTCGTGAGCATCCAAGTGCACATACTAGTCAGTCTCAGCGACGCCGGATGGCACGGTTCAATCGGAGGGCAGGAATGGCCAACAAGGTGATCGGATCGCTCAACGAGATGTATGCGCAGGCCCCAGTGAATTTGCCGCAATCTGAACATCCCACCCTTGCGCAGAGGGTGGCTCAGACACAGATTCTGAATCAGGTGGTGGCAGTGTCAGAAAGCATTCCCATGTACAGTGAGCGTGAGGCGTCTCGAACGCTTCTGCAAACCTGCCTCTCCTACTCGGAGGAGGCTTTGACTACCGTGCGGCCCTACCAACCTGACCTCGTCTCGCTGCCGCAGGTCGGGACTGATCCTCCTGCCCTTCGTGATCTTGTCGATGACTTTGGTCGAGATATTTTGGAGGACCCTTTGGGGAACATGCTGCTGTCTCCGGATGAGTGGGGCCACAAGATCGAGATTGGGGATACCGTTAGACCATACATGGATCCTGTTCTCAAAACAGATGGCGCGGCATATGTGCAGTTTGTGCAGCGGCTTTTTGAGGGTGGAATGGTCTCGTTCACCGAGAAACCTCGTGATCTCATCACCCCCTTCTTTGTCACTAAGAAGTCCGGAAAGCTACGTTTGGTTTTGGATTGTCGGGGCGTCAACCAACGGTTTCGAGAACCTCCCTCAATCGCCCTGGCCGCAGGAAGCTCCTGGTCGCAGTTGGAGATACCGCTGGGCGAGGACCTCTTCATTGCACAATCTGATATAAAGGACTATTTTTACTCGCTTCGACTACCGCATGAGTTACAACCTTTCTTTTGTCTTCCCGCCATTCCCGTGCAGGCCATTCATGCTTGGGGCGTGGAGAACAAGGACTGGACAGGTGCTTCAGTTGAGGGATTGGTGTTTCCAGCTTTCAGGGTCATCCCCATGGGATGGTCATGGGCCATGTGGTGGGCACAACGAGTGCATCAAGTGCAAGCTTTGATTGGAGCAGGCCTCTCCGATGCTCGACTCGTGCGAGCCGACCGTCCAGCTCCCGACTTGTCAGGGGGTGAACCTGCTGTCATTGCCTATGCAGACAACCTTAATGTGACTGGCACCGACGAAGAACGGGTCCAGAAAGCAAAGGATGGGGCCGTTGCGCGGCTCAGGACTCTAGGCTTTGGAGTGCATGAAGAACTCGACGCATGCGCCTCAGCCACCTCATTGGGCTTCAGCATCGATGGGGCCACGGGTGTCGTCAAGCCCGTTCCTGATAAGGTTGGTTTGGTCATTGCTGCTTTTAGATGGCTGGCCCGCAGGCCAAGGGTCAATGGAAGGGCCGTTGAGAAATTAGTGGGGCACGCGATACACTTTATGCTTGTGCGTCGTGAAATGCTCTGCTGTATGCGGTCGCTCTATGATTTCATCCAAAGGTCATACAGAGCACGGAGACGTCTATGGCCTTCTGCGGCTCGCGAAGCTGAGTGGATTGCAAATCTATTACCAGTATGCCATGCGAACTTGAGAAGGGTTTGGTCTGAAGTGCCTACCGCTTCTGATGCGTCACTTAGTGGTATCGCGGTGTGCAGTCGGCATGCTGGGGTAGAGCAAGTTTCCGAGATAGGGCGCTGCAAGGAGGCCTGGAGGTTCAAAGCCCGTGACTTTGTGGCCCCGCGTGAAAGTGCCATCGGTGGAGCAGAGGATCTTAGCCTGGATCCCTTCAGTGACACTCAATCTGTCAAGCCCCACATTGTCTTGCCCGAAGATCCATTTTCCATCAACCCTGACTTTAACGAGGTGCCCGATGATTTCATGACAGCTTCTGAGTGGTCTGTTGCTTTTGCGTGTGAGATGCATCATGCTGAACCAATTACCATTCTCGAAGCCAGAGGAGTCGTAGCGGCTGTTCGCCACAAGTGTAGGGCGGTGCAAAATTTCGGCAAGAAACATCTTCATCTCAACGACAATCTTGCTAATGTGCTTTGTGCCGAGAAGGGCAGATCTGCTTCTTATCCTATGCTTCGGGTGTGTCGGCGACTTTGCGCCCTTGTGATCGCCGCGAACTGCACTTTCCATCACCGGTGGGTGCCCAGTGAGCGCAACCCTGCTGACCATGCTTCGAGGCGATGGGAAGCCAAGCGCAAAGCCAAGGTCCATGAAAAGAAGTCGCAGTTGCTCGGACCCTCCGGACCCCCTTCTCGCCAACGTCACCGTCCCGATGCTGAGGGAGAGCAAGCAAGCCGAGCCGAGCACTTTGTCGGCGCGTCGCTCTTCCATTCGCAGATCAATCCAGGGGAACTCCAAGGAGGAGAAAGCGGTGAAGCGACAGAAGCTGGCGGTCACCTCAGCTCAGCCTCGGTTCCCAGGGCAAACTTTCCTGGAACAGGTTGCCATCTCGCAGGAAGTGGCCAACGACTACAGCAGGCGACTCCAGAAGTTTCTCCAGGTGGCGAAGATCAAGAACATATTCACTATGCCCATGACCAAGTTAGATGCATGCTTAGCAAAATTTCTCGAGAGCATGTTTTTGGGAGGCAGCGACATCTCAGAAGGCAACAAAACGTTCGCGGCCGTGTTGGACATCAGGCCCGGCTCTTCCCAGATGGGACAGTTGCCAAGGTGCAGGAGATGCTTGAAGGGCTGGGCCAACTTGGATCCAGGGGCGACGAGGCCTCCCCTGTCCTTCTTACTTGTGGCGCTCATCGCCACAAACCTGCTCCTTCGCAACTTGCCGGAGGCGGCCCTGGCAATACTGCTGATGTTCTCGGCTTACCTACGACCCGGCGAAGCGCTGGGAATCCACGCCAACGATGTGGTGAGGCCGAACCGTTCAAGCAAACACTTCACGATCAACCTCCACCCCCTGGAGAGATTCGAATCCAGCAAAGTGGGGCTCTCGGACGAGACGGTGGTGATCGACTCACCTGCTTTGCCGCAGCTCGGTCCCATGCTCGGTCGGCTGGCCAAGTTGAAGAAAGGAAAGGATCTCTTCGCGCTCACCTACCCTCCCCTACGAGCACATTGGGAATCAGCTTTGGAGCAAGTGGGATTGGGAAGCCAATACGCGGTGATGTATCAATTGAGGCACTCCGGGCCCAGTCACGACCGGCTGGCAAACCTGAGGTCGCTCATGGAAGTAAAACTCCACGGGCACTGGGGGTCCGACTCCAGTGTGAAGCGGTACGAGGCCCACGGCAAGGTAGCCGGCGAGTTCCAGAAGCTGCCCCAGGAGGTGCAACAAGCAGCGGGTCAGGCCGAGAAGGACCTTGGCCGATTGATGCAAAGATCTTCTTTCACTCGTTAAGCCAGCCAAAATGTTGGGTCCTCGAAATTTTCTCTGGCAGTGCGAACCTCTCTCGGGCGTGCGCTGAGTGCGGCTTTGCATGCATCGCTGTCGACATTGACTATGGTCATGGCTGTGATGTACTTCGCACAGGCGTGTTGTCTCGTATCTTCAAGATGCTTGATACTCTCCCCGTCGTTTTGGTGTGGTTTGGGATGCCGGGTACCTCCTGGTCGCGGGCTCGCAAGGATGATGGTGGTCCACCTCCGCTGAGAGACGATGGTGAACACATCTTGGGGCTTCCTGATCTTCGTCGCGCAGACCAGGCAAAGGTGGCTCGCGGCAACGCCCTCTTGCAGGTCACCACCGATTTGGCCCATGCTTGCCGGCGAAGAGGTATCCGTTGGGTCATTGAAAATCCGGCTTCCTCACGAGCCTGGCTTACGCCACAAATCAAACACCTGCAGGTCTCTGGTGCCATCTTCGTTCCCGTTGATTACTGCCAATACAAGATGCCTTGGAGAAAAGCCACGCTCTTTCTCTGTGAGCCCGCTGAGTGGTTGCAGCCCGTTTCCAGAACCTGCGATGCTCACTTTGGCAGATGTTCAGCATCAGGGCGGCGCCACATCCTTCTGCAGGGGACGGATGCCACGGGTACTTCTTACGCTGCGCGTGCCCAGCCCTACCCACGCGCGCTCTGCATCGCCATCGCGCGCTCCCTCAAGATCAGTGTCCTGTGACTGGTTAGGGGAGGGGGGGAGGGTGGCATTCCTCTTTTCCCGTTCTAAGAACGGCTTGGATCGTCATTTCCAGCACTGAGCGTGTTGCACAGCTTCTTGCATGAAAACAGCTCAGTGCGCATAAGCTGGCATGATCAGTGCTGCTGTCATGTACAGTGCTTGCACATAAATGACTTATAGCACGAAAAATGCCGTTTCATTCTCGAGATCTCTCGCTTGTGACCTCCGCCCACCCCTTCCTCCATCACCGGGGAGGGTGGCATTCCTCTTTTCCCGTTCTAAGAACGGCTTGGATCGTCATTTCCAGCACTGAGCGTGTTGCACAGCTTCTTGCATGAAAACAGCTCAGTGCGCATAAGCTGGCATGATCAGTGCTGCTGTCATTAAAATGAGTTTAGGAGGGACAGAGACGCCTGACAATGGATTTTAGCAAGCCACGCCGTGCGAAATTTTCTTCCGACACCCGGACGGTTTGACTTACAGAGGATTGGCCTCGTAAACTTGATTTCAAACAGGGGGGGGCATACTAGAGCAAGTGCAACATTACGAACCGACCAAAAGAGCAACTAGGTAAGTTTGGGGTTCTCAAGGTAAGGTTTTGGGTTTAGAGGACCGATGTTGGGCGTCAGGGTCGGAGCGTGCCCCCCCCCGTTCAGGGTTTATAAGGTTTAGCGTTTACGGTTCCTTTAGGGTACTTGATGGGGGAGTCTGGGTATGGGTCAGGATTGAGGTTCCTTTGGGTTTCCTGAGAGTTTATAGGTTGAGGGCTTAGGGTTTGGTTAGGTTTTTGGGGCTTTCGGGTTTAGGGTTTTAGGTGCCTCCCGCCGGGAGGCTCTGGCGCACCACTCCGCACGGAAGATGCGGCAGCGGCCCAGCTCAGAAGTCTCGAGGGCTTTTTGTTGGGGGGCGGAGGGTGGTTGGGGTCTTTTGAGTTTGGGGTTTAGGGTTTGTGGGTTTTTGGGTTGATTTGGGGTTCGGGTTTTGTTTGGGGAGTTTTGATGATTATGGGGGGGGAGGGGGGGCTTGCGAAATGACCCTAAATCCTAAACCCCAAAACCCTAAACCGTTTTCTTGGGGGGGGGGGGGGGGGGGTTGGGTTTTAAGGTTGGGGTTGACTGGCTGGCGGGGCGGCACAACCACGACGGGGCACCCGAATTTCGAGCACTCCCTTGGAAGTCGGCGAGTGCTTCTCCAAGTGTAAACCCTAAACACTAAATCCTAACCCCTAAACTTGAATGGATATCGCAGCAGTCTTCTCTTGAGCCGAGAAGTGAGAAGTTACAGGAGATGCATATCGGTAGTACAGGTTTTCACTTTTGTTGGTTCAAGGTTTCCCTCATAAGGTCATAAAGTACCCATTCCAAAAAGGGTACCCTTAGAGGACAAGAGCCTAAGTGTGCATGTCGAAGCAGGTTCAATGCCAACGTACGCCATGGCCCCCAAAAAAATCACCCTGAAGAGTCCCCAGAAGCACAAGCTTCCGAGCCCTCTGCTACATCCTGAACCCTAAACCCGAAACCCAAGACCCTCTCGAGCCCAGAGCCCTTTGCTAAGCCCATGCCCCAAAACCCTGAACCCTCGCACAATTCGACGCCTAGGGATTGTAATCTGATCTCTTGAAGGTCTTTATGGCTGGCCTGCTTCCCGAATTCCCTAGTCAGGAGGGTTTTGGGGAAGTAAGGTCCGAAGCCCCTAAGCCCTAGTCTCCACGGGTAGTTTCATGGGCCCGTAGCATGGCCCCTTACCTCCTTTCAAGGGTTCTGATGCATGGGCCCTTCATCTGTAGAGGGTATATAATATGGGGTCCCCTTCGAAGGGCCCATAAAAAGGGACCATGTAACAACCCCAAGATAAACCCTACCCTGAGCCCTAAACCCGAAATCCTCAACCTCAACCCTAAACCCTAAACCCCAAACCCCAAACCCCAAACCCTAAACCCTAAACCCTACTTGGAGGTTCGAGGCCAGGGAGGTCTCCAACGCGCTGTGGTCCTTCACCATCATTGGCCCGGGGGTCGTGGCCTGGCGAACGACCTAGAGACTGTCCCGACAACTCCTACACTGAGGGTTTAAGGGCTTAGGGCTAAGGGTTTAGGGTTTAGGGTTTAGGGTTTAGGGTTTAGGGTTTAGGGAAGCCTCTACACTGAGGGTTTAGGGCTGGGGGCTTCTTTTTTCAAGGGACACAAGGAGGGACCCTTATCAAGCAACCTTAGGGTTTATTTGTGAGCTACTTAGGGGCTACTTAGCGATTTAGGGACTTGATCAGGTATGTAGGGGTTATGTAGGGGAATAAGATGAAGGGTCCCTTCTGAGGTCCCTCCTTATACCCCTTATAGGGTTGAGGGCTTAGGGCTTAGAGTTTCGGGTTTGGGTTCAGGGTTCAGGGTTTAGGATCCCTGTTGAACATCATGAGTCAAGGTTTCCTGCTTGTGTGAAACCCGGCTAATTCCCGGACCTCCTGAGAAGCAGGCCCTAAACCTTAAACCCTAAACCCTTAACCCTTAACCCTTAACCCTTAACCCTTAAACCCTAAACCCTAAACCCTAAACCCTAAACCCTACACCCCTAAACCCTAAACCCTAAACCCTAAACCCTAAACCCACAGAAACTCTGCCATCAATTGAGGTGGGCCCCGATTGGCTGGACCCCGCGCTGGAGCCACGCCAGAGTTCGAGTTGGGGCGTCTAGGGTTTAGGGTTTAGGGTTTAGGGTTTAGGGTTTAGGGTTTAGGGTTTAGGGTTTAGGGTTTAGGGTTTAGGGGTGTGGGGATGAAACCCTTAGACCCTTAGACCCTTAAGACTTTGAACCCTTAAACCCTTGAACCCTTAAACCCTTAAACCCCTTAGACCCTCAAACCCTTAAACCCTTAAACCCTGAAACCCTTAAGCCCTTGAACCCTTGAACCCTTAAACCCTTAAGCCCTTAGACCCTTAAGCCCTTAAGCCCTTAAACCCTTAAACCCTGAAACCCTTAAACCCTTAAACCCTTAAACCCTTAAACCCTTAAACCCTTAAACCCTTAAACCCTTAAACCCTTAAACCCTTAAACCCTTAAACCCTTAAACCCTTAAACCCTTAAACCCTTAAACCCTAAACCCTAGACCCTGGCAATCCTGGAGTGTACAGGGGCTAGGTGCGGGATGCGTCTCAGCATCCGTAGTATTGCAGGGAACTCCCCACGCGAGCTGTAGCCCCGGGTTTGGTCTTTGGGGAAGGAAGGAGGACCTGTAGCTCCCTCTGGAATGATTTTTTAATCTTATCAATACAAAACCCATGGGAATGTGAACAAAATCACTTGTATTCAGGTTCCACAAGGTAGGCCCATAGAAGTTAACCCCACTTATAAGTGGGGGTAACTTATGTTATAACGGGGGTTAACTTAAGTTATAAGTTGGGTTAAGTGTATACGATTTTTTAAGTTAGTTAGCGGACTTAAGGCCAGTTACTATGTTCGAGATGTGTTCAAGATATGTTCAAGACATGTTCAAGATAAGTTCCAGAGTGCAGTGACAAAAGTTATCCGGAAGTTAGCGGAGTTAGCAAAAAGAGGATGCAACGAGAATGTGTTGTCGCCTTATGAGCTCTTTTGTGGTATAAACACTATAGAAAGTTGCGGAATATATCTGTGGTGATTGTTTTCGTGGAAAGAGGGCGGCCAAGCGCAGGGCTATATTAAATTTGTTGCTGGCGCATTTCCACGCGGTCACGGCGCAGCATTCTGGCGGTCGGGCCGCAGAGTTTCTGTATAATCGTGTATAATGCATGTGCGCACATATAGGCTTGAGGTTCCTGCAGCGAAAGTTTTTGTAAGCTACCTCTGCTGCCATGGATGCGGAAGAGCTGCTGCGAGCCTTGCAGGGCCGGCAGTTGAGCTCAATCTTTTGGAGCTGCGGGTCCGTGAGTCTGAGGCGGCAAACAAGCAGGCGTTGCTGGACGCATTGGAGAAGAAGTTCATTGAGTCGCACCCCAAAAAAAGCGGTCGGGCCGTTATGCAAGATTGGACATGCTTTCCGGCTTTCCTGACAGCTTCGCTGTGGCATGCGCTGGAGACAAAGACAGACGTGGAAGCGATGCAACAGATCACCCAGCACCTTGCACGCATGGGGCTACGAAACCCCACGGAATCCACAACTGCTGTGATGGTTGCCTTGTTGCGCCTGCAGCACCCAGCAGAGGACATGGCTAAGCAGCACAACTACCTCATCAGCTTCAGCATCCTTGATGGCCAAAAGACTGCACGACGGCGCCTCTAAGAGGGCACGCAACTTCTGCTGGCTTGCAGGAAGGGGCGGCGCCGGCTGGGCGGGCTGCGAAGACGAAGCTCCTGCGCCCGGCCACAGCTGCAGCTGCGTCAACGCGCCCAGCAAGGTCTGTGTGGCCGAGGCTTGTTCGGCAGAGGTTTTCTCTTCTTTCTTGGCAGCTTTCACCAGCCGATGGCTTGCGCGCAGGGGGACAATGCTGGCGCGGCTCAGCCTGAGGTATACACGGAAAAGGCACAACACACACACACATAAACATGTGCAGATTTTCATAAATTAACATAGCCAAGAAACACCTCCATCAATGAAACCGTGGCGCAACCACGGGCTCGCTTGCTTCAGCCAGCTGACGCAGCCTCGGGTCTGCAAGCTGCACGTCTGCAGGCAAGCGCGCGACGATGTAATCTGTTCTCGGCGCAACCGAAATGCTGAGCTGCATGTGGCTTTTGCTGCGCCATCCTCTCAGCCAAGCTGCGCGGCTGGACATGAAGGAGGCACGCGCGAACAGCAAGAAGCGCTGCCCGCGGAAGCAGCTCTGCAGCCGCAGGCGCCGCCAGCCGCCGCAAGGTCTGGGTCTGCCCTGCCGATGGCAGCTGCTGAGAAGCACGCTGAGACTGCGCCTGAGACCATAGCAGCTCCTCCCCTGCAAGACGTTGCAGCGGTAGAGCCGCTGGGCGAGCGACTGTCCACTGCGCAAGGCACAACCCTGCAGGAGTCGTTGCAGCGTTTGCAGCAGGCATGCGGACAGGTGAAGCAGCGGCCTGCAGCGTGCGCAAGCATGGTGATGTCTCGCCCTGCTGCAAGCGTGCCACTGGTGCGTGGGCGTGGGCGTGGGCGTGGCCATGTGAAGTCTCGCCCTGCTGCAAGCGTGCCACTGGTGCGTGGGCGTGGGCGTGGGCGTGGCCATGTGAAGTCTCGCCCTGCTGCAAGCGTGTCGCGGGTGGGACGTGGCCGGGGCTGCGGAGGCGCCCATGCGCACAAGCGGCCGGCAGCGCGGTCAACAACAGGAGCATCTGCCAAAAGACGACCAGCTGCAGCGGCTGTTTGGCCGCGTGGGGTAGTGCCCCCAACGATGGCCGCGAGGCTGGCAGCCCGCCCTAAGGGTTGCCCGAAGTGCAGGGAGAAGCCGGGCTGTTGCCCATCTTGCTATATGTGACCAGGCCCGCGTTTTCCGCATGCGGTCGTGCCGCGCGCTTGCAGACGGCACTTGCGCTGTGCTGCATCGCGCAACGACATGCGTGTCACCTGCATGTGCGGTCGCGCCGCATGGCATGCATGTGCAGCCATTTACGCCAGCCCCACTTTTCTGAAAAGAAACGAGCTGAAGCCCGCATTGCCCATGTTATAAATGCATAGAAAAGCTGCCGAACTGCACATGCAAACCCATTTATATGTTCGAGGGATCTGAAGCGTTGCGGCATGTCTGCAGCGGAAGCGGTAGAGGAGCCGCAACGCGTGCATCAATATGCTATACTGCCGCTGACGGCCTGGCTCTCCCTGCGGAGCATCTGCGGCCGCCAGGCTGGAAGTTCAGAGCGGTTGGGCCGTCGTCGAACCGAGGCTTGCAAGAGCTGGAGGTCGATGACGTGGTCATCCTGACCCTAGAATATGGGCAGGGCCGGTGCAGATTCCACGTCGTCAAGGAGCTGCACCATGCGCATGGCTGCGGCTATCTGCTCGAGCCAGTTTTGCGAGGAGTAACTTGCCCGGTCTACCTTGAAAGAGTTGGCAGCCTGGTTTTGAACCTTGACTTCATGGCGGAGCCATTTAACCCGCGGTCGAGCCGAATTTGCGTCACCAAATTGTCTGGTGACACCGTGCTCCTGCGCAGCTTTTCGCGGTCGAGCCGCATGCAGGAGGTGCACGATGCCGTGACGCGAGTCCTTGAGCTCAGCGACCTGGAGTCCTTGCGCTTGCAGTACACGATGGCTGGGTGCAATCAGCCTGTGCGACTGCCGAAGTTGATGACCATCAACAGCCCTCCTCTGAGCCGCCCTTGAAGTGTGCCCGGCGTTGAGAAGCATGCGTGCGCACGCTCGCGCGGTCGCGCCGCGGCATATGTAGCGTTCCCCCGAGGCATCCGGCACGCAGAGCCCGCCGGCTGCAGAGAGTAAAAAAGGACCTCTTTACGCGCACGCATTGAACATGTCGACTCCTTTCTCCCCGACACATGAGGCTTGTCAACCGAAATGAAACAAAATATATATATATATATATATATATATATATATATAAGTGGTGAAAGAAAACATGGAGGCGGTGGTGCCGCAGAAACAAAAATTCAAGACTTCAGTTTTTTGCAACGGGATCGGGGCGGTCGTGCCGCAGCAAGAAACATGTCAGCATGCTGAACATGGCTGCATTTTAGCTCGGAGGCGGTTGCGCCGCAGCCCAGTGCACTGCGTTGTGGAATGCTGCCCACTTTCTTCGGGTCCGCTTTTTTTGCTCGAGCTTGAGACAGCAAAGCAGCACGCAGCTTCGCAGCGCAGCAGCAACAGCATACTGGAGCACCATGCCGTGGCGCTGGGTCTCCGCCGACGAAGACGAGGAGGAGGAGGACGCCTGGGCCGGCTTTAGCGGCCGCGGTGGCTGGGGCTGGGCCCGCGACAGCTGGCTGGACGACAGCTGGGTCGACGACAGCTGGGCAGAGGATGGCTGGGACGACGACTGGGCCAGCTGGTCGGGCGAGGCCTGGTCGGCAGACGCCTGGGCAGGCCGGACCTCCTCCGGCCAGGTTTGGTGGCGACGCAGTTCCGGTTGGGCCGGCTGGTGCGGAGGCAGCAGGGAGGACGAGGAGGAGGAGGAGGGAGGAAGGCGTGAAAAAAAAGGAAGCCAAAACAGGAGCCTTCGGAGTACTCGGAGTACTCGGAGGAGGAGGAGGCTGCGGCGGCGCCGAAACGAGCGCCGCTCGTGGACAAGCAGTGTCGTCTGGAGATCCAGGCGAAGGCCAAAGCCCAAGGGCATCTCTCGGAGGGCGATGGAGAGGCAGCTGGGGCTGCACCGCCCGGGCGGCAGCCAGGCCACGTTGGCGCGCTGGGACAACTCCTTCCAGGGACGCAGACGAGCCGGTCGCGCCGGCAGTGAAAGCGGAGCCGAGGGACGCAGACGAGCCGGTCGCGCCGGCAGAGCGGGCAGAGCCGGTCGTGCCGGCAGAGCCGGCAATGGGGCGCGGGCGCCGACAATAGGGCGCGGCACACCCCCGCAGGCTGTCCAGGTCTCTTTGGACCGCTCTTCCACAAGTCAGTTAGAGGACGACGCGGCGCCGGTTGAGCCGGATGCAGCAGAGGCACCAGTTGCGCCGGATGCAGCAGAGGCGGTGGCACCGGTTGAGGGCGCAGCAGACGCGGTGGCACCGGTTGAGCCAGGTGCAGCAGACTCGGCGCCGGTTGAGCCGGAT